AACAAAAGAAATACACACCTCGGGGCCATCACATCACAATCATCCTCATTTGCTTTGCTCCGACTTTCTTAAAAAAGGTTAAAGAAAGAAAGTAGCGACAGCAAAGCAAAAACCAAATCAAACCCAATTTCGCCTTTTTCATCTTCTTCCAGACGGAATATCCAATTGTTCCTTCACAAGGCCCATTCGCAGAACCAGAAAAAGGCCACGACTTTGAAGAAAATTCATCTGGCAAATTGAAAAAAATATCGAGATTGGCTCAAAGAATTTAAGAATTAAAATATGGGTCTCTTCAGGGAGAGACTCTCGTCATTCTTCAATAATCGATGGCTGGTGTTTGTGGCTGCAATGTGGATACAATCTTGTGCCGGAATTGGATATTTGTTCGGCAGCATATCGCCGACTATAAAGAGCTCTTTGAATTATAATCAGAGGCAGGTCGCGAGGTTGGGGGTGGCTAAGGATTTGGGCGACAGCGTTGGGTTTTTGGCCGGCAGTTTATCGGAGATTTTGCCGTTGTGGGCCGCTCTTTTAGTTGGGGCTATTCAGAATTTTATTGGGTACGGTTGGGTTTGGCTTGTCGTCACGGGGAAAGCCCCGGTCTTGCCATTATGGGCTGTGAGTATCGTTTTCACTGCAATTGATTTTTCATCATTTTTGTTGTTGAGATTGTGTCATTCGCTTACTTGGCTTTACTTTTTGATTTGGGTGATTGGCGACTGACATCGAGTAATTTTATTTTCCTGTTCTATTCTGTATCTTGTCTTTTACATATGATGTTGTGATGGGGTGGATGTGATGACCTGGGTTTGCTAAAAAAAAATCTCATATTTAACGTTCAGGGACTTTGAATTTTAGTTAAATCCTCTTTACTTCAATTCGTTGGATTATTATTTTTTCTTTGTTTTCAGTTTGTGGTGTATGATATGCTTTGTTAGCTGATCCTCTTACGGGTTCCGAAGTTATGTTGCTTCTACGATCATTCTTCATTGTTCATAAGATAATATGTTTATGTTGGTCAATATCCAGTTGCAGCAAGATAACTTTTTCCTTATACTTCATAAATTTCTCGTACTTCAAGTTTTCTCCTTCCCAGAATCTCGGAGTTCAATCTCTTTACATTTGTGGATTATGAACGTATTGCTCTTTATATTTTGTTATTGGATTACTGTGGATTTCGAAAATATTGCTAGTTACTTTTTGTCTCTGGTTATTTTTCATAGTTTAGTTTTCTGACATGGCAACCGATCAAATGGATTACATTTAATTTGAACATTCTCTCCCCAAGCTTAAGATAGTGAGATGAAGTATCAGTGATGTTCTGAAAATAATGTTTGGTCATCTTACCTCAGTGATGCTTCCTTTACAGAGATTTCACATAATACATGAAAAAAGTTTATTCCCTTGTTTCTTTAATTTCCTTTCATTGGAAATAAGACTGGAACTTTCTCTTCCCTATGCCATTCACAAAGTTCTGCATATTTTCCACTTGCGTACAACAAATTAGACGGGTCAACCCACCTAATTGTTATGCCGCTTCACAATAGAATTTGTGGTTTATTACTAACTTCTGCCTAGCATCAATAGTTCCATGTCCCAATCAGTTTAAACTCTCTTGTACACATGACTTCATGCATACGAGAATCGTTTTCTTATCCGAAGCCTTCTAAAAAACTCAAAATCATGATACTTCTCCCCCCGTTCTCCACAAAAATCTTAACCAACTCAACTCATGACCACAATTTTGTCCTCAGATGTGCGTTCTCATCTTCATCGGCACAAACGGCGAGACCTACTTCAACACGGCCGCGCTCGTCTCGTGCGTGCAGAACTTCCCCAAGAGCCGCGGGCCCGTCGTCGGCATCCTCAAGGGCTTCGCGGGCCTCGGCGGAGCCATCCTAACCCAAGTATACGCAGTCATGCACTCCTCCCCAGACCACGCTTCCCTCATATACATGGTCGCCGTGGGGCCCACGATGGTGGTCATCGCCCTCATGTTCGTCGTCCGTCCAGTCGGCGGCCACAAGCAGATCCGGCCCTCGGACAGCCTCAGCTTCTCAATAATCTACGGCGTGTGTCTCGTCCTCGCTTCATACCTCATGGGCGTCATGCTCGTCGAGGACATGGTCGACTTGAACCGAACAGTCGTCAAGATTTTCACGATTGTTTTGTTCGTCATTTTGCTCGCCCCTGTGGTCATCCCCGTCTCGTTGACTTTTTTCGGCGGGTCAAGGACGAGGGCTTCCCCTTTGGAGGAGTCTCTCTTGGGAGATGATGACTCGGTGAAGAATGGCTCAGGGGAGGATGTGATATTTAGTGAGATGGAAGATGAGAAGCCGAGGGAAGTGGATTTGCTGCCAGCTGGCGAGAGGCAGAAGAGGATTGCACGGCTGCAGGCGAGGCTGGCTCAGGCGGCGGCGGAAGGGGCGGTGAGGATTAAGAAGAGGCGGCCGCATAGAGGGGAGGACTTCACGTTGGGGGAGGCGTTGATTAAGGCGGATTTTTGGCTGATATTTTTCTCGCTGCTGTTGGGGTCGGGGTCGGGTTTGACGGTGATTGATAACTTGGGGCAGATGAGCCAGTCGTTGGGTTATGATAATACGCACGTGTTTGTGTCGATGATTAGCATTTGGAACTTTCTTGGCCGTGTGGGTGGTGGCTACTTCTCTGAGAAAATAGTGAGGTATGTGTTTTGGTGACTTCTTGAATAAGGTGGATAAGTGGTTGTGGACTTCTTCTGTCTGAAAATAGATTGATTTGTGCTGTTTTCGAATGCCAACAGTTTTTTTCTGTCGGAGTGCAAACTTTTCATGTTTTAGGTTGTGATTTTGCATTCTTTGAATGATGAGGATCTAAAAGAGAAGAGTGGGTTTGCTTTAGATTTCAGATTTTGTTTCTTATTTATAGGCATTTCTGTTTATTATTTCTGTTTTTCAATTGGAAAAGCTATTTTTGCAACTTTATTCATCACCTGCTCTCTTTAAACACTTGTATTCAACCTTTGGCTTCTATATGAAATTATCAATACAGACTACTTCCCTAAAAGTGTTTTTTCTCCCCCTTCAGAATCACACCTTTCGCCAACATTGCTTTAGTTTTCAGTTTTCACCATATAATAGATCATTGATTTTTCATTGTCTTTTACACAAAAAAATCGCCTTATATTGTGTAACAGGGACTACGCATATCCAAGGCCGGTGGCAATGGCCGCAGCCCAAGCAATAATGGCAATCGGGCATTTCTTCTTTGCCATGGGCTGGCCAGGGGCAATGTACTTGGGTACACTCCTTGTCGGGCTGGGCTACGGTTCCCACTGGGCCATTGTGCCAGCTGCTGCCTCAGAACTGTTTGGGTTGAAAAAATTCGGTGCTTTATACAATTTCCTAACCTTAGCAAACCCAGCAGGCTCGTTGGTCTTCTCGGGCCTTATTGCCAGCAGCATTTACGACCGGGAGGCTGAAAAACAGGCCCAAGGGCACAATCACGGGCAACGAAGTCTATTTTCTTCCTTTTCAGGTTTTGTTTTTGCCGAGGATCCTATGAAGTGTGAAGGGGCCGTTTGCTTCTTCTTGACTTCAATGATCATGTCTGGTCTTTGCATCATAGCAGTTGTTTTGAGCATGATTCTCGTGCAACGGACTAAGCCTGTCTATGCCCACCTCTATGGAAGGTCTCCGAGGTAAACTTTTACCTGTTAAATGATGGTTTGTGTCAAAATGGGGTTTTTGCGGTTTATTGTGCGAGTGAAAGGGTTCTTTTGTGTTGGATTTTTTTTAGACAAGCCATCGGTTTTATATTATGTTTGGGTGAAGAAGTTATGAGAGTTTGGGACAGATGTTTTCCATATATATACATGGTAGGGAGAAAGATGACGATCTTGATGATTGTCGATTATATTTATTTCGTTTTAAAGAACTGTCTTGAGCTCGAGTGTAATTGGTCGATGTTTGTATCGGTTCGGTTTTAGATGTTTTTTGAACTCAATGAAATTCTTTTTGGTACTCTGTGGACAAGTTGCTTAAGGAGTTTCTTAAGCTGTTGTTGTACTCTCCTTGTGAAACATCTTTTTCTTTTTTTATTCTGTGCTGCCTATCTTTTCAATTTCTTATGTTACTATGCTTCAATAAAATAATTACTACAAAAGTACCTATTGGAGATTTATAATAGTTATTTATGGTCTTTAAAGTCTTACTAGGTTACTACCTTTTGGCTTAAGAAATTTGCAACACAAAACATAAATCGATAGATTCGATTCAATTACTCTCTGTCACTGTTATTAGACAATAACTTAGCTTACCACATCTTACTGAGATGATGAAACTAGTGAGCAAATGCCCCCAGAAAAGACAACATATTCTTTTCGAGTAATTCTACGGATTGAACGCCGCACAATCTTTCCGTATTTCTCCTTGCTCGCCAGTTTTCACCCCAACCCTGCCAAGTCGCCTCATTGCTGTAGCAAACTCCGTGATAAACTGACCCGAGTTGCTGGCGAAATCCTTAACTGTCGATCGAGAACTCAGATCAGTATACAGCACCTGATCGGACGTGAACAGCCCTTTCCCCTCTACCAAATTCTGATAGTACGCATTGTCAAACTTCTGTGGGGTCACTGGATCCATGAATACTATATTATCGTCTGAAATATTATTGGGGCACGATTTCATCAGATCTTGCGCATAAACAGGGTTTAGGGTGGGGTCCACCTGGCGGCCATTGGAGAAGGAGTATAAGCGTTTTGTGAAACGGGAACAGTGGGAAAAACCGAGCGTGTGACTCCCTGAAAGGGCAATCATGTCGATTTGTGACAGATTGTTTTTGGCGAACATAGTTTTGAGTTGATCGAGATTGAAATTGGGTCCCGGTAAATTTCCCGAGACCATTGAAGCCTTAGAAATTAGCCCGTCTCGCCTTCCTAATTCCACTTGGAATTTCGGGCCACCTGCCTGAGTCATTCATGTGTGGAAATGAACAAA